TGTCATTTAATATTTGATAAAAACTGTAACCATACCAACAAGATTGAGAGAAAAGAATTATTTAAAGAAATCTAATTAAATTCAAACTGATCATTCATACAATGGATTTTCCTGTTAAAATATTTGACAGTTTTGTATAATATCTAAACTGTACTATTTAATTTAATTTATTTCTTTTTATAAAGCTACTGTTCATAGGAACTAGAGGATATTTTATGTTGATTAGTTACATTTCTTAAAATTCTGACTAATAACTTTGCATTAAATTAATAGCAATGGTTTGTATTCAATGAAGAAATATTTTACGGTGACTAATGTTTTTTTATTGAATTGAAAGTGAAATATCTATCTCGATACACCCAGCTACCCTGTTACGACCAAAGATGGGGAGAGTTAGCTATCTCTCTCGAAATGCTCTCACATGTCCAAGCGTATACAGCTACTGCCAGGGAGGTTCTACTCACTACCTTCTCGCGGCACTACTGTTGTTTACAAAATTGAGAGGACGAAAAGCGAATGTTCGGTGCCTTAGCCGGATTGGTAAATATGGAGGATCCAACTAAGGGAGTTGGAAAACCCTGATTCCAAACCAATGGTGCACATGGGCTTCAGGATCCTGAGAGAACAAATGGCGTATGGACCAGTTATTGGTCACGGGCTACCAAGGGACTTGAAGTTGCTGCATTGCCTTGTAGATCAGACCTTCAGATCAAAGGCTCCAGGCGTGGACCCCTAAGAGAGCCACCTTTGTCTCCCTGGGCACCCAGACAGACTCACAGTCCACACACAAATCAAGTGACTTATGTGGCTCATATGTATTTGGTTCCCTCTTTGAACCAATATTTATGAATTCAAATAAATAAATATCTTGAAGATAATGTTTATTAGCTACAAACATCGTATCAAATGTGAGCAAATTTCATTGGGTTTATTCGAATCTGTCAAAGTGATTTTTGCTTTCTACAGACCTAATGTAACGATAAATATATAAAAGTAATAACTGGAACACCATTAAAAACTTGAATCTACTTGACATCCATTTTGTGTAATATTTAGATTCTTCAATAGCTCACAGTGAGAAATACACAATCTCTATGTGTTAGTCATGTATAAGAAATGATCTATACCGCACACTAACTCTGACTAAAGCTTTTTAGGATTTCTACTAATTCTTATCCCAGGTAAACTAGGATAGTTGGGTGAAGAGTTAACGAGTCCACCTCGTAAAATGTAACCTCGTTACAAAGACGCTAATTGCAAAAAACTATTTTAGCTATCTTCCGAACGTTAAAGGGTCCTGATATGAAAGAGTAATGTTGTCTCAAAAAGGAAGCTGAGATATTCCGGGATTCGCTAGGTTGGAGCCCCTTATGATAACGGCGAAAACAATTAGTACGGTATATGGGACGATGGAACTATATGGAATGCCAGGATAATCATTCAAATAGAGGCGGAAATGAAACGATCCAACTTAGCTCTGTTTGGAACGAGTGAAACTCATTCGATACAACCACAACAAAAGAGGATAACTTCAGTAGAGCTGTTTTGGTATTCTTTTCACAACCGAGACAACAAAAGGTTGTCCAGGCAAGGTTATTTGGAAACCATCAGTAATAACTTACTTTTTGAGAGACTAAACTAGCTATCAGCTGAGGAGGAAATTTAGAAAAACAATGTGAATGTATAGGATACACCACGGAAACCATCAAATTGCATCGCTAGGCAAGCCCCAATATAGAACTCTCAAAGTGTTAGGAGAAGATGCAGATCAAATAAAACATTGGGTCGGTAATAGAAGGTAAACATCGAAACTATCATTAGCACTTGACAACAACTGGAAAGGAGCAGCTATGACAGAGTTATTCGGTGGGCCCTGGTCAGTGGTCCATGCTCCAAGTTTGGCATCAAAGTAAATACGTAAATATAACACAAATTGACTGAAGTCAGAACTTGGTAAATTCCAGATATCGCGTTAACCTCTAAGCTATGAATTTCTGGGTTCACTTTGTCCGGCCATCTCAAACGAAAGACAAACAACTCTCTGTTGTTTCGTAATATTCAGCGACTATTTAGACGACATCGGTTTCGTGATATAAAAATTGTTCTCAATCCGTTTTAATATTTAAAATAAGTAAATGATATTTTGATAAATCAATATACTAAGATTAGTAAGCAAATTAAATGAGCAATTTGAAATATATTTCTGCCGTAAATCTAGTGTTCGTGATACAATGAAAGAATAAATTCTTTGGTGCAAAACAAGAATCAGAAGATTATCGTTATACATAATCCACTTTAATGGTAATAATAATATACACGTAAATACTCATAAACTAAAGATAAAGGTCTAATTTCTTAACTAAAGTGAATAGAACTATGTTCATAGAAAGGTTGGTTTCTCTTTTTTGTTCAGCTATGCCTACACTGAGACACGTCACAATCTTCACAATGACTGTCAGTATGTCAAGCAGATAATATTGAGATCAGAGAAAAAATGTACCTAAATAAAAATAGTACCTAGAATTTAAAACTACCAACAGAAAAAACAAAAATAATTGGTGCTGTCAGGTGGTAAAAAGCAACCTTTTCTGAAGGTAAAAAATAGGAGTACTACAATAGGAGTAAAGCTTTAAAACCAGGATTCTCTTCCGCACTAAAGTTGTCACTAAAATATCAAAAATACCTAAAGAAAGTCAACAAAAAACAGTTTCTCTTTGTTCCACAGAAAAGAATATAAAACAAGACTAACAGAAACTGAGAGCTATCAAGTGAGTTAGTGTACTAAAGATTAAGTCGTGGATATATCTAGCTGGTGTCATTAACAAAACTTCACTGGGTACATTCAAGATGTTTGATTTGTAAATAAATAGGATAGATTGTATTATCAAATAGGAATATAGTGTAGACATAAAGGAAAAAAAATTAAGTTTGGTAATTGCGCATTAATTATAAAGTTGAATAATAACTAACTTATCAATATACGATTACATCATAAACCAAGCGCTAACTTTGAATCCTCAGGGCCAAAGGAAAAGATGCAGATCAAAGAATACGTAGCACAGGAATCAAAGGCGTGCATCATAGGAATGAATAGCACTTAACAACAAACACAAAGAAGATCCTAGTACAGAATAGGTTGAGGAATTCTTCTCATCTTCTTATACCCCACGAGAGATTACAGGGTCAAGTAAGTGAGTAATAGGGTGGTGGAAATTGTTGAATTTTAACGAACAAAGTAAGTACGGACAACTTTTAGTTTTATAATGAAGCATTATTCTCAATGGAGCTGGATTTATATCCTCGTGATAAGTGTCGATCTTGAAAAGAGTTATTGTGAGATTAACCGTTAATGATGGAAATTAAGCATAACTCACTCTACAATGACGAATTATTGAGTAATAACAGATATCGTTTTTATCTATTTCTGATGCCGACTGAATTTTATCTATTGGTCTAAGCGATTTAAAATTATTTGTACTACGTTTTGATGCTGTGTGGTCAAAGGAAGTCAATGGGCAACTTTTGACCAAGGTTTCATGCTAACTGACACTATTCTGGGAGGTGTACTTCAGATCTTTGGGTGACTGATGTTCTCAGTGGGATTTAGACTTGGGTCATTTAAATTTTTAGCATATGTAACCATTGAGCAATTCTAATGCCCACTAACATGTAGAACTTTTCACATAATACTCTTGCACACTTGAAATTTGAAGTCTAGTATACACTTGTCATACAGAAATTTAGATAACAGTGTCATATGTTTGAATCCGCACCTAACAAACAGTTCATCACACATTTATGGTGAACTCCCCAAAATATATGTCACTTCCTATCAAGAAAACAACTAATTCTAATGCAAAGGTTCCATTATCATATTACCATTATATGGGTTGAATTTGTGGTTTTCAACAATAATTTACGTTTTACACGCAAATATTATAAATAATATACCGCACACGACAGTGTAATGTATTTATGTGTTTACAAGACTAGATCGTTGACATAAACCACTAAAAGAACTGATATCGAAACATAACTCTGACAGCGTGCGGAATAATTCTTTAAAATAATCCAACGGCGTATTAAGTATGAACCACGAGAATGAAGATACCATATCTCAGAGATCTGAAAGTTAAGCGCTCACTCTAAGCCTTGAATGTGTTGAATTTTATCCCTGATAAAGTCCTGGATATAAACCATTGAGAAGTCTCACATCAAAATGAAATAACTCTATAGTCCTTCTTGATTGTCCAACTAATATCCGTCTGTGATGTAGACTATGAAATAATTAAGAGCAATTTGAAACATAGACGACTAAAAGATACGAATTTTAAAGGCCATCTTTTAATTAATGTTACTAAATTTATTGCTGATCAACATAAGTTCTACAGACTACATACAAAAACAAATGAGTTTCATTTTTTGATGGGTTGAACAACAGTGACAAATTTAGAAATAATATTCAATTCATGACCACAAGCATTTATATTGTTACCAAAATATCTCTATAGACAACAAAGGTAGGTTTGTAAAGCAACAGATAAACCTCACACAATTGCTATGCTAACAAACGTTCTTCACCTATAAGCGCATGAAAATTTAGATTCGTTACAAATTTTCTTAAACAAACGGGAATATTTTGCTCTATTTATGTTGATTAAGCCTCATTATTAAACATTTATTGACCTGGTACTGTAAAATAACCAAAGATATGATGTTAACTCTCCAATAAAACATTCTTTTAAAGACGGTAAACACATTCCAGATAATACACGTCAGCTAGAGTCAATTGGTTATTTTTCAAATTGCTTTATGACTTATGATCTTGAAAAAGCTCTTAGTCTGAGAACTATATTGCTTCTTATGAGTAAATATTTCTATCTCTTTCAATTTCCTTTGTCAAAATCCCTTACAAATCAGAAATAAGTATAAAATGCATTGTTGTCATATTAAATGACGAAGTTTAAAGGTCTGGCAAAGAACTTGACCATATGACTTACAAAATATTGGTAACTTCTCAGGCTGTGGAAAACTTAATCCCATAGAAAGCGCTTCTTGTACTGCCAGTCGACATATCTCTTTGGTAAGATTTTTAGCACTTGTGTTGAAAATAAGTGACACGGTAACGATGAGAATCAGAGACTCATAGTTTTTTAAAATTAACGACCGAGTCATAGTTACAACCAGACTAATTTTATACAGCTAAAGTTCATTGACATCAATTATATCACGTTTTCAAGTATGTGTATTGAAAGTGTAACATTTTGATTGTTCGTCAAAGGTCAAAAGATCGACTGAAATAAACAAAACCAATTTACAAGACAATTTGACATTTATGGTACAAGGGGTGAATTTATTTCCTCCCCTCAAATACTTTTGCAACGTTTGATGCCTCATATTAAATCTGGACCACTTTCGTATATGTTACGCCAGGATAAACATTACGCAAACTATATACACATGTTTGCGAGTGGTTTCATATCTCCTACAAACGTGCAGAGGATAGTTATATAAGTAACTTCCCTGTCTTTAGTTCGCAATAAAACAATGACTTTGAGAAGCCAATTTTTTTCATTCTGTTATTTTATAGATCTAAATGATTACTATGGTTCATTTCGTGAATAAACAATAAAATACAAACGGGCAATACAAATGTCGGAGCTCCAAACTGTATGTCAAACCCCTGAAAGTATGCTAACCCGGTAAAATCAGAGGTCAAAAATGAGGGAGTTCGAATATTTATTAGGCATGTCGAGAAGCATTTGGTCTAAGCTGCCTGGAAGTTTCAAGGGATGAGTAGCACGGCGTACCTACTCATCATCTGATACGAATGAGTAACTCAGCACCTTCAGATGGGGTGTGTCCAGTGAAAAACCTAATGAGGTCAGGGTCGCTATCGTAGACATGCAGGACTATTTATTCAGGGTATTTATTTACCGCCACACGTTTTAACCATGTATTGTGGCTACTTTGATAACTGTGTAGAAGAAACGTGACATTGCTGAGATGTATAAATAAAAAGCAGGGTAAAGAAACTTGCGATGTAACCAGTGCTGCATGAGCATGTCCATGACATGCAAGTGATTAACTTGCAGTAGTGATGTTCAGTTAACTTTCAGTGATCCGTCGTTTAACGTGAAAATGGTCCACTCTAATGGTTATGGCTCAGTAACATTGCACTGTAACAAAAAATTATTGTATGAGTCAAAACCCCACTTTTATTAAATCTTCAGTGTCGCCTGAATTTAAGTGAGTCTTGTAGTACCGTTATAATCAGAAACGTTGGAGTTCTGTGTTTTCAGTAGTCCTGAATTCACCAGTGCTACATTCAAGCACAACAAGGTGGACACAATTAGATGTATCGTATTCGGAATACTATAAAAAGGGACCATTATTTAGCACAAATACCAAACGTACATTAATTTCGTCGATCCACAATATTTAACAACTTCCTCAAAAGTACAAATGGCCTGTTTGTATTACTATCGGGCCTTTGACTTCTGGCTGAGTTACTTCCAAATCGGAGAATAAAAAATAGAGTGCCTAACATCTGCAGAGGACGAACGAGTGATGAAACGGGACATTTCTTTGTTTGATAACATGATAAGTCTAAACAGTACAACAAAGATCAATCGCAAATACCATCAGTTACTGATTTGATGAAATATTCTATCCCACTCAAGACTATGTGTTTTGGCTGAACAGCAGATAATCAACACTGACAGAGTATTCATAATACAGCAGCTGACATCTCAGCAACTCTGAACAGCCGTAACTAAGAGATGACCTCGGTGGCGCACCTTGTTTGACGCTCTATAAGTAAATAGAGTGCCTCGTTCTTCCTTGAACCAGCTAAACAGCTGTGAGCTATAAAGTACACTAGAAAATATGTCCTCAGTAGAACCTGTACATGCAATGGATTGAGGCAACGAAACCATGAGGAGCAATCGTTCAATTCCAACTACTTATAACTTTCTACAATTTCGGACACAACGGTGTCACAGGTTTGCAGAACAGATTTAAATAGTTCACTGTCTTGTGGTGGCGTCCGTTAAATCCAGAATACGAAGAATCCCGGTGTCCATGCCATCGATTTTCCTCCGTCCATGCTCCAGTAAGTCCAGCTTAATAAAAAGACGACAACAACCAGTAATGTGATAGCTAATGACATGGCAGACAGACAACACGATACAGAAGAGATAATATCAAAAAAGAATATCCACATAAGCAAAACTTATGATACCTAAACGATTTTTTTCTTCAATGAGCGCAGACACTTGATAAAAACAAATTATTACTATTGGAGAGACGTTTCTATTAATGAGGAAACATTTTTCCACCCGAAGGAGAGGTAAGGGTTAATTCAGTTCCCCCAATTGTTGAGTGATCACTACATAATAACAATCCACAGGATTAACACAATTACCATACTTCTTATGGTAGCTTCATTCACAATATTTTTGTTTAATCGGTAGTCGTATACTTATTATTATCAGTCTAAAGGTTGTGGAACATGTATATCCTATGAAGGCTGGATGTGTAGAGTACGACTCTCATCTTCCTATACCAGCAAATCGAGTGTAAAGACATTTTACGTACGAGACAATAGGTTTACTTCCTGTTTCTTTTACTTACGGCAACTGCACAACAAACCATTGCGCACGTTGTTGTTTTGACGTGAGTTGTTTCTTAATAAACAATGTCCAAGCTGTTAGCTGTGTAAGTAGGTTTATTTACAACAACACAAATTCTATAAACCAAAACAGCCAAATCTTGCTTTATAGATTTCACAGTGGATTACACCATATTATAAACAAACAGCTAAACTATAAAGAAAATTAGTTGTTAAAATAAGTAAACTGAGTTTAGACGTATTGGTATATGGAGTAAATTACTGCAATCGCTGAGTCCATACTTTCCATTTCTCTTGCTTATATTCTTGTACTCTAGCTTTCCGCTTCCATGGATCACATGTTGACGAACATCAGAGGAGAAGAAAACTTGCCAAGGACTACGAGATGCGAAACCCATTATTAAATACTATTATTTCTTCATGTTTTTCAAGATTTTCGTATTGATTGTGTGCTAATAATAATCTTTCTAGACTACACAATTGTACTTTTAGACTGTCAAAAAGGCTGTAATTTAGACTGATGTACAGCGTAAAAACAAGCCAGAATACGTCGTTGGAAGAGGCATTGAAGAAAAATATCACATCTAACCATTGGTATTTTTATATTCTTAATAAAGTTTGACTATGTTTATAGTTTACCTGCCATCATAAGCCGCAGTAACGTTACAAGTAGGTGTCAAACGGAGCTTCACATGTCTAGTGCTTAGATTTGACTCAACTCTCGGCCACATAGCTGAACGTAAGCACCTCTACTAGGACCTTTACAACCCCGTTGTTTATCGGACAATCCAATATTTTTCTCCAAAATAATATATGATTTTTCATTCCTAACATCCTTGCCAACTATGATCCGTGACCCTGACTACAAACTCATATACAAGGCATATACTCTACCAATTGTAAAACCACAAAAACCAATGTATTGGGAGTGTATTGCAGAAAATTATTTCGGAACAAAATCTATATAGACGATTTAGACAAAAAATATGAAAAATGGCAAACATTGTACTATGAGGTGGATGATTGGTGACGAACAAAATAACTCAATGAAAAGGAAAAGCAACGTTTGATGAATAAAGGTACCTTAGAAGAGAATCCTAAAATATAGTCCTAAAATATTGGATCAAATGACCCTCCACACTATAATAATGTGGTCTCAATTTTCTTGATTTTTGCTTACCGCTTACAAGGTATTTATAGTGTGGTTATTTGGAACAGGTTTCCAGAAGTAGTTTTGAAGTGTTGATTGGGTATCAAACCATTATGACTGTGAACAAAAATTGGGAGAATTGTAGATCGAATAAGTTAATAATAGTTTATACGTGCAATAATACAGTGTTTGTAATTATGATGAGATAATTTTCAAACGGTCACATACACACACAAGTTGATTGAAGTTACACAGAATAGTAAACTAATTGTGGTCTACACAAATTTGACAGATATTTTGGTCGTGAATTGCTGTAAAGTCCGTTACGTAGTTGCTGTTTTCTAGTTAGTAAAAAACAACCTTCAGCTAATTTCAATCAAAAGCATACAGAGTTAATTATTTCTCATTGGAATGTTTTTGATAGTGATGTAGAATAGTGAATGTCGTACACACAGAAACATAGTAACATAAGATGATTAACTATATTTGTGAAGTTAGATGGTGTGTGAACGTACTTTCTTGATAACATTCGCGACATAACTCTTACCTTTATCTCTAACTAATACTTTGAAATTCTTAGGGTATATTATTAACCTAATACTGAACTTGCATATGCATGCATTCATTCATTAGTCTACTGTAGCTACCTCCAATACGAACTTCTGTATTAGAACATTACTTTTCAGATCAATATCACTGTCGTGGTGTGTGATAGTCGTTCCCGCGATCAAAACATTTCATTATCACTAAGGTCATGGTTTCTGGGTCGCATAACTCTACTCACACTCGTATCGATTTAGACGCATATAAATATTAGGTGGATATATATGGCAGTGATATTGCCAGTGAAATAAGAATGAAATGTGTTTGTGGCCATTGATGAAATGATGGTGGATGATACTGAGAAATAAAATGCCACTTGCTTGTTGTGTTTTCAAATATCTGAGCTGTTCTCGATTGCACACATGTTGATATTTTCCAGCAACTGCCTACATTCATTGGTTTGCATATAGATGAGAGCAGTGTACACCGATCGATTCAGAAAATTCAGTTAAATATTTACAGAGGCATCCGAAGTCTTTGGAACATTGATGCAAATAACTGTGCGAGTCGTCTTCAACCACTGACGGCAGAATTCTCAAAGTGGGGGTTTATCACACAGGTTAGTAATCTAGAAATTAGGACACTATCATATAACATTTGCAATGAGACGGAGGTGACTAAAAGTACTGAAAGTTGTGGAAAGAGATCATGAAGGAGAACTATTACGCTCATTTTCCACAAATGTTATTGAATTTCATACTAATCAGTGGTTGCATTTGTTGAAAACAACTCGATTTGGCATGTGGACATTTTGTATGCTAAAATACTATATGTAATAGTCAACCAATACCTATTCTAATGTCTTCTTTTCTCCTCGACTTCATGAGATTGATATTAGCCGACAGTTGTTTAGAGTTCCACATGTTCTTCATTTTTGGGAATGCTGCTCCTACTT